CCCCGCCAACCGCGCGCCGCCCGCTGGACACGCGGGCGCCCGAGGCCGCCTTCCCGCGGACCACGCGCCTCCGTGCCGTCAAGGTGGACTCCCCTGGCAAGAGGCCCGACGTGATCTCCAAAGGGGAAGCGCGCGACATCACGGAAATGGCCAACAAAGCCTCTAAAGAGCCTGTGGGCTGCGTCAATAACATTGGGTTTTTTGCTTCGCTCGCACGGAGCGCCAGCAGAGACAGTGTGCAGAGCACGCGGGGCTCCAACCGGCTGCGGCCCTCCGCCCTGGGGCTGGCCGCCAGCCTCCAGCACTTCCAGGAAGACAGCGCCAAGAAAAGCTCTCCCCAGAGCGAACCCGGGGAGGGTTTTCTAGTAAGTATTGTCCTTTCCATGCACTTTTTCCCTCTTGCAGTGACAGCCTGTTTAAAGCTTGGTTTTTGTTTAATTCCTTAGATTGGATATTTTTGGCAAAGTTCTCCAGGAAAAAAAAAGATTAACTAGTTTGTAGGAACACTCCTTCCCATCCCCCCCATTCCTCCACCTCCCCCCCCATCCCTCCACCCTCGCCAGTTCTGAGCTTGATCTCAGGGCCTGGGCACTGTCCCTGAGCTTTTGCTCAAGGCTAGCACTCTACCACTTGAGCCACAGCGCTACTTCTGGTTTTTCTGTGTATGTGGTACTGAGGAATCGAACCCAGGCCTTCTTACGTGCTAGGCAAGAACTCTACCACTAAACCACATTCTCAGCCTTAGAAATCTTTTTAATGAGTTTTATTTTATTCTGTTTTATTTTGGGCTGGCACTGGGGCTTGAACGCATAGCTTGGAGGTTGTCTCTTAGTTCAAGGGTGGTGTTCTACTACTTGAATCATGGCTGTGCTTCTGGCTTTTTTTTTTCTTTGGTTGGTCCTGGGGCCTGAGCTTTGGGCCTGGGCACTATCCCTCAGCTCTTCAGCTCAAGGCTAGCACTCTACCACTTGAGCCACAGCACCACTTCCAGCTTTTTCTGCTTATGTGGTGCTGAGGAATCGAACCCAGGGCCTCATGCATGCATTGCAAGCACTCTACCACTGAGCCACCTTTCCAGCCCTGCTTCTGGCTTTTTTTTTTCTGGTTAATAGTATATTAGAGTCTCACAAACCTTCCTGCCCTCTTATCTTGATTCCTGAGTTGCTAGGATTACTCATGTGAGCTACCAGCACCTAGTTAATGATTGAATTTTATTATTTATTTTTATTTTTTGCCTGGGGCTTGAACTCAGGGCCTGGGCACTGTTCCTGAGCTTCTTTTGCTCAAGGCCAGCACTCTACCACTTGAGCCACAGTGCCATTTTTTCTGTTTATGTGGTACTGAAGAATTGACCAGGGCTTGATGCATGCTAGGCAAGCAATCTACCACCAAGCCACATTCCCAGCCTATTTTTTTTTGTCTGTCCTGGGGCTTGAACTCTGTGCCTGGGCACTGTCCTCAGCTCTTCAGCTCAAGGCTAGTGACCTACCACTTGAGCGACAGAGCCACTTCCAGCTTTTTTCTGCTTCTGTGCTGCTGAGGAATCAAATCCAGGGTCTCATGAATGCAAGGCACGTACTACCACTGAGCCAACTTCCCAGCCCCCTGATTGAATTTTAAATGAGTTTGTCCTAAATTGAAAACTGTAATATGAAAAAGTTCATATGGTTTATCAGTTTGCTTTTATTTGTTTGAGATAGGGTCTCTTCTAGCCTCAAACTATGTAGCCCAGAATAGCCTTGAGCTCAAAACCTTCTGTCTTTGCCTCCTAATACTGAGATTTCCAATGTTCACTACCAGATCCAATGTTATCTTGTTTTTCTCACTATTTTTTTTACTTTCTTTTTTTTATTGTGAAAATAATGTACAGAGGGGTTACAATTACATGGGCAAGATAGTGAATACATTTCTTATCAAGCATTGTTGCTTCCTCCTTTGTTTCCCCTTCCCTCTCACTATTTTTACTAGTGCTTTTTTTCCAAACTAATAACTCTGAGCCATCAAATTATACTGTTTTAAAGATAATAATCAGGGGCTGGGAAGGTGGCTCAGTGGTAGAGTGCTTGCCTTGCATGCCTGAGGCCCTGGGTTCGATTCCTTAGCACCACATAAGCAAAAAGAAAAAAGCCGGAAGTGGCGCTATGGTTCAAGTGGTAGAGTGCTAGCCTTGAGCTGAAGAGCTGAGGGACAGCGCCCAGGCCCAGAGTTCAAGCCCCAGGAAAGAAAAAAAAAATAGGCTGGGAATGTGGCTTGGTGGTAGATTGCTTGCCTAGCATGCATCAAGCCCTGGTCAAGTCCGGACCCAAAAAACAAAATAAAACAATAAAGATAATCATCACAGTGTTGCTGTAAGTATGAATCAGATTCCAAGTTAATTAATTTAAAAATAGATTAAATAACTTAAAATGGAAGCCTGACAATGTCTTCGTAATAAAATACAAATATTTCATGTTTGGTGATTTCCTCTATTCTCATTGACTCACCTCTGTAGGTGTTTTGTGTTTTAATTGTAGTCTGCCCGTGGTAGTGGAATGAATGGAAATAATGCAGCAGCAGGGAAAAGAGTCGGTAAGCTTCATATAATTTTTAAATATAAGGCCACTAATCACACCATTATCATTACTGTTGAATTTCCAAAGGTACGTGAGACAGTCATTCTGTAGTGTGAACCAGGTAAATTCAATCCTTTAACTTTTTTCCTTCAGAAAGTGATTATATAAACGGACTATTGTTATCCATTGTCTGAGAAAGAGGAATGGTCTCTATGAAAAGATAAGATTATTGAATAATTAGCATGTAGCTTTCAATGCCTGCTCTGCCCTCCTTGTGGCTATTCACTCTAAGTGGTCTGCTGGATTGTTCTGAGGCATTTCCCTAGAAAGGTGTTCTTTTTGATCAAGAGGCATATTAAGGGTCCTTTTGGGATAAACTGGCTAATTAATTCTGGATAAAAGAGGAACAATCTCTAGAAGAAGTTCTTCCCATGGCAAAGGAAGAGGACTAGCTGCAGTGTTACCGTTCCCTCCTCACAGTGGCAGCACCTTCAATCTGCTGGGCTTGATGATACAGTGAAGAAATTCATTCATTATATTCAGACTGTTTTCCTTCTTTCATGCTTTAATACCCAGACCAAGGATAAACAAAACCATTACCAAAGGTGTAGCCACAGAATTGAAAAAAAACTTTATATACTATGATTGTCATATGAGTTTTGTGTTTTTAAAGACACTTGAAGATTGTTTTCTGTTCCTTACCAAGAGGGTCAAGATGGTAAAGTCCTAATAGATCAACTTTTTTTAAAGTTCTTTTTAAAAAGTATTTTTGTTGGGCTGGGAAAGTGGCTCAGTGGTAGAGTGCTTGCCTTGCATGCATGAGGCCCTGGGTTCGATTCCTCAGCACCACATAAGCAAAAAGAAAAAAAGCCG